ATATGACAAAAAGATATTTTTATAAACGTTACCTACTGCAGATCCAATGACTACTAGGAGAGCTTCATCAACAACAGTAAAACAAAAGAAATAACAATAAACACATGGTCACAGTTGTGGAATAAATCATGATCATGCTTCAAATCTGTCGGTTTAAAACAGGAAACAAACAGACGTCCTGTTTTACAGTGTGACATTGTGTGGACCACCTCCTCTCTAGGCCGATTTTGTCACTCTGTAACAAACTGGAGCAAAGCAAAACAGTAATCTGAAGTGATTTATCATGTCTCTATCTGGCAGACTGATGCTCAACTTTCACCCATGGCTGCAATGTTCAGGTGTACTTTGCCATGTAGTACATTAATGCATCCTCAGGCAAACACTATAATAAATGCCTCCTGCGCACACGCATCACCTTTACAGATGCGCACACGTATCACCAAGACACGTAGGCAAGAGATTACACAGACTATACCAGTGGTTTTTTAAAAACTGGTGTCCAGGGACCAACAGGGGCCCTTGAGTGGGTTGTAGGGGGTCCTGAGCAAAAGAACAGAAAATAATATTTAAACTTTATTTATATTTTTTTGGAAGTACAACAAGGAAAGCAACAGGGATGGTGGTTTTCATCTTTTGGAATTCATTTATTTGACTCAGTTCTATCTTTGATTGACTGTAAAGACTTTATTATCTTCCAACCGAAAAAATGGTATCTACTGTGGGGGTCCTCAAAAGTTTGGGTAGCCATGGGCAACACTAGGATCTCCAACACACCAGCGCGCACACGCGGACAAAAGTGCGCACATCGACGCGCATCAGCACGAGCTCAAGCTGAATTCCGGCAGAATCAGCTTGAGCTCGAAAATCATGAATATGATCTGAAACCAGCCGAAACACACAACCCGAGATCCCTGCGGTAATCTGAGTGCCTCATTATTTATTCACAGCATACTGATCGATAAATGAATTAATTGATTGACTTTATGGGTGGATTTACAAGATAATAATCCAAGAGTTATAATAGTGAGAGCTCTATTTTATGTTAATGATCATAATAATAATAATAATCTGCTGTCAGAGCTTTAATTAAGCATTGATTATTAAGGGGGAAAAAAATAATATTTTAGTAAATTGTGTTCAGGTACCTTTTTTCTCCGCAGCAGGAGCAGATGTTTCCTCTGTCAGAGTCACAGGTCAGACAGATGTTTTCTGATGTTTTTCACATCACACACATTTTAGCTAAATTCCTCCGCGGGGACTCGGTCCGGTTCTGCATCAGCATCCATCAACCAAAACATTAAATCCAAATGCAAATCCACTTTTTCTCTTCAGAGCAGAAGTGCTGTGCTGAACTGACGGAGAAGCGGTGAATTCCTCTAAATTGCAGGTTTCTGACGCCCCGGATCACCTGCAGGTGTTCGACTCCCCGCCGCTCAGCCAGCGATGACGCTCCGGAGCCTGGGTCCCTGTCCTCCCACAGACAGCACTAGTCGCTCTCAGTGTCTCGGGATCGTCACCACTGTAAAGACGCGTTCACACCAGGGACTATGGTTACAGAAGACCGAAGTCACGGACGCGCTTTTTTTCCGCTTCTCGCAGTTCTCCAAAGTGCGCGGTGCGGCTGTCCTGCGTCACAGGAAACGCGGGAGGCTCTTGGGCTCATCACACCAGCCGAGCCCAGGCTGATGGGAGTCTGAGGGTCTCATCAAGTTCCCCGGCCACAGAGCCAGTCTCAAATCTGAGCAGGGACAGCATAATCCTGGTCCTGATGGAGAGGAAAGTGCGTCCGCAACTAACACATGAAACCCAAAAGGGAGAGCGTGCGTGTGGCTCGTGCAGTTAAAGATGAAGTTAATGAGCTTAATCATACCGCCTGTTAGAGAGAGAGAGAGGAGCTGCTCAGAGTTAAACCAGCAGAGATGGAGACAGGACGCCACCCAGCGGACAAGAAAACGCAACTACACATAAACAACTGCTGCAGTTTACACTCCCATCAGTTTTCTACTATCCTCAATGCTTTGTCTAAGCTGATTTAATTTAAGCAATCTTGGATTGTTTTCAAGTCTATCTTAAAATAATCATTATATGACATAAACTCATAAGATCATTCTCTTTTTGAAATATTTTTTTCTAGTCTTTTCATACAACATGAAACCCCTTCATATAACCTACAGTTTAAAGAAAAACAAAATTAAATTTTTTATATTCTTTTGGTTAAGTATGATGTTAGTGATGGAAACATTTTCAGAGATATTGTGCTTTCTTTTAGTCTTGAACCTTGCAGTGGCCTTCCTATAAGATAACAATACCAACAGTGTCCTCAAGCCAGAGACCTCTGCCAAATGTACACAGAAACATCTTTTGAAATTTAGTTCATAGGGGTGCAGCAATTCAGCAATGTAGGTGGGAGCTTAACTGTGAAGTGCTTTATAGGTGATCAGTGAAATCTTAAAATCAATTCTAAAACTGACTGGAAACCAGTGAAGAGGCTAAAATAGGGCTGATATGATCCTGTCTTCTTGTGTTAGTTTAAAGCCGAGCAGCTTCATTCTGTACCAGCTGGAGGTGTGAGACGGCTTTATGGCTTAACCCTGAATACAATGAATTAAATAAATAGTCTAATCATGATATGATATGATTAAAAAAAACATTTTAGGGCAGTATCCCTGATGCAGAGCCACTTTTCCAGTTGATCCAAAAGGATAGAGTGATCCACAGTGTCAAAAGCCGCACTTAAATCCAGTTACCACCATCAGCTGTAAGTTCAAACTAATTTGTTACTTTGATAAGAGCAGATTCGGTGCTATGACCAGCTCAGAAATGTGATTGTCAAAGATTTCATTGGCATTTATAAAAGAAATCAGTTTTAAATAGACAATCCTCTCTAAAATTATTAAATTGGAAAGGATCAAGGCTTGGTTTCTTAACAAGCGTGCACTATGGCATGCTTGAGGAAGAAGGAAACACAATTCGTAGACAGAGAGCTATTCACAATTGATAAAATCGAGGCAACAACACTGTTAAAAACCTTCTTCAGAAGTCTGACAGGCGTCACATAAAGGACTCTATGTAGGCTTTAATTTGGCCATTGTGTCCTTTAAAGTGCACAGTGTGAGGGGCTGAGAGCTGTTGAGTGAAGCAGAGGCAGAGGGATTGCAGTGTGGAGAGAGCAGGTCATCAGTGGCAAGACCAATCTGGAGTTTTATTTCGTTTACTTTGGTGATGAAGGACAAATATGGCTCACAGATTGTAGGGGTGGCTTCAGTGGGTTGATTGGGGGGGGCGGTTGGTTAGAGCATTGATGTTTTTTAAGAGAATCCTGGGATTATAGGTTTGTTGTAATAATAGGACGATCTGGCATCTCATACTGCTTTTTAGTTGAAATGAGTTCTTTCATGATTTGATGTGAGACCACTAGACAGTCCTTTTTATACTTCCGCTCATCTGCCTTTCCTTTGATATTACTATCTATCCAAGACATGCTGTGGTTTGATTTGACCTTACACATTTTTACTGGTGCTATGGAGTCAAGAGCAGCTTTACATGTATTGTTGAAGTCAGTTAGTAATTCTACTGTAGACATATATGTTTTTCAGTTATTGTTATGTATAGGTGCAGCGGTAAAGGTATTTTGAAAAATTTTAGCAGAGTTAGTAGTGAGTACCCAGTTGGAGACATAAGTAGCCACCGTAAAAAAAGGAGGTGGGAGGTTTGACTTTAAAATAATTTCTTTGTGGTCTGACACACATAGTCTGACAGAGATCCACATTATCAAGAGGAAAACCAGAGGACAGGACAATGTCTAGGATGATACAGCCAAGTGATTCAAATGACGAGAAGTTACCAAGTGAAGACAAGGAACATTTAAAATTCTCCCTATGAATTACAGCCAGTCCACATCCACAACCTGAGATGCGAGCAGGTCCAGCACCAGAAGGACCCACACTGTCAGCCACAGTTAATAAAATTCCAGATCCGCTTCCTGTTCCTTTCCTGTTAGGATGCAGCCTATCTTATTTAAAAAGGTCCCAGTTTGTCCAAAAGGAGTTGAAATTACCACAAACAAATAAAACCAAGTCCAGTGGCATTGGTAAAACTTTGCAACACTAGGTGTAGACTAAGTGGAATGGGACCAGACAGGAAAACACTTCCTTACCAGGTTTTCTACAATTGAGGCCAGAGACTCAAGTTCATACTGAAACTTGATGGATTGCCTCGACATGACATCATTTGATCACAATGTGGACAGAGGGATGGATGTTAAGGAGAGCTGGAATCAATAAAGTCAGCTAGTCGTAAAAGGATAGTCACTCAAATGTCTTTCAACAATACCTGTGCCCTTTTCCCCCGTTTCCTGAAAGAAGCATAATCCAGCATTTCATAAAAGTTTCCCCTAAATGTTCAAACCCAAGTAAAATGTTGTGTACTGTATAAACCAAACAACATGTTAATTTGAAAAGCAGAACATGACTTAACCTGATGAGAACAAGGCGGCTGGATTATTTTTTATTTTTTTGAGAGAGAGACGCTGTTGTTGCTCTCCACTGTCTGAAAGACCCAGGGTATGACGGGAAAAAACACCTAGGGGTCACCTGATCAAAGACCTGGCTCTTAGTTTTGAACACCTTGCTTTATAAAAAATCTGCTGTGAAAAAGGTCTATTGTGCAGTAGGTTTATTCATCTTTACAAATCTGTTCATTTCAGAGCCTCAGATACATCACATCCATTTTACATGCTCTCATTTCCTCGTGTAGATTATTAGATGATTGTACTTGTGTCCTAACTGGCTGGAATAAAAAAAAAATCAAGTTTATTACAGAATCACCTTGATTACATTATTTTTTAAAGTCTGTCATGGCTCCAGATTATATCGCTGTATTACTGTGCCCTTATCAACTTGCAAA